AATGCAAATGCAGACTATCTCTGAAATGAATAGAAGCTTTGACTGCCAAGCAAAAATGAAGTTCAAAGCTAGAAAATGGGATTGTCTTATCCTTCATAAGTTACTGCCAGAAAACAAAAAAAGATACAGCAATTGCCTTCAACAGAATGAAACACACCTGTTGCTTATGAAAATGCAGCCCATATGTCGGCCACAATTTTTCTTTCTGTCTTGACTTACAAACAGCAATCAACCAAACTTTCTTTAATCCTTCCAGTAATGTTGCTGTGTTAAAGTTGCTTCTGTATAGTTCGCTTGCCAGTTGCTTATTTCAAGCAGAGGCAATAGGAGTGGGTTTAAGTCACAATCCAGGGAACGTTAAGCACAACTAAGGGCTTAACCACACTTAACTTTTGTCCCGCTCTTTGCAGGCAGGGGTGTGCACTTTAACACTTCATGCCTGTGTTTTGTTTCATTGGGTTTTTTGCCTCAAGCTTGCTCTGTGAACACTCGCTCTTTAAAGCTGAATCGGAGCAAACATCGTTTGGGTTTTCTGCATATTGATGTTTGCTCTGCTTGAACTCTAAAGAGTGGGTTTTCAGATGGAAAGCTCTGGAGCAAAAGGGGCGGCACTTGGACATGGAGCTTTAAACTGTGGACCATGCCTGGAAAGATAAGTGTGGATAAGCCCTAAATCCCACAGAAGTCAATGGAACCCAAGAATTGCATTGATGACAATGGCATGACTGCCTTCCTAACATTCTCTGGGACACTCTACACATAAATTCAGTGTTGTATTTTCTTCCCAAAACATTTTTTTAAATTAAAACATGAGAATGTTGATGGCTTAGCTATTTATATCTAGCAGATTTCTAGCTAGATGAAACAATATTTTCCCCCCCATAGAATATGACAGAATTCCTTTAAAGCTTGTCAACACACATTGTGCCAGCTATTTTGGTTTAGATCATTTTCCAGCACAATGTTTGGATAGCCTTCAGAGATTAAAGTGAATTGCAGTTGTTTTTAGTTTAAAGAGATGGGTGGGGAAATCCTGAGCAAGACTGGTTTCCTGTGGCATATAGTGAGTCACCTGAAAGATAGCACATGAAACTGAATTGTCTATCAAAAGAAAGAAGTGCTGGCAAAGTCAATCCAAATTAAATCCTACAATCCTCTTTTGCTTTTCATTTCTGATGGATTTTAAACATAAACTTTATTTCCTTAAGGAGTGGGGAATGTTGGTGGCACGGCTGAACATCAAAATAAAATGATATTTGTTCATTTATTTGCAACATTTATATACTGCTTTTAATCACTGGTTTCAATGAGATATTGCATCTGACAGTGGAGCATGCCTCTCCCTTAAAAAGCAGTGGCAACCAGAGCTAAGCTGCCTTCATATGTCACCCCCAGCATGTTCCCATCCTCTATTATCTACACATAGGCTATAACTAGACTGGAGCAACTGCCTGGAAAACTTTTGATACATAAGAGATCAAACCCATGGTAGATTAAAAAGGAGACTCAGGAAATAAGTGTGGTGAGGTCTCATAAAGAACACTGTAGCCCATTCAGTTCAAGAAACATGTTGACAAATAGACAATGATTCAGAAGAAAGTGACAAAGATACTAAAGACAAAGGAGACAAATATTTTTTTCATTTAATATGAAAGAAGAAAATCAAGGGGACAGTATGCTGACAGTACTAACGATGAGCAGCAGCCATTGTGTCACTCAAGCACCAGGTTTGGCTTATGTAATCCCAATCTTAACCTAGACAGCATCCTAAAAAGCAGAGACATCACCTTGCCAACAAAGGTCCGTATAGTTAAAGCTATGGTTTTCCCAGTAGTGATGTATGGAAGTGAGAGCTGGACCATAAAGAAGGCTGATCGCCGAAGAATTAATGCTTTTGAATTATGGTGCTGGAGGAGATTCTTGAGAGTCCCATGGACTGCAAGAAGATCAAACCTATCCATTCTTAAGGGAATCAGCCCTGAGTGCTCACTGGAAGGACAGATCCTGAAGCTGAGACTCCAATACTTTGGCCACCTCATGAGAAGAGAAGACTCCCTGGAAAAGACCCTGATGTTGGTAAAGATGGAGGGCACAAGGAGAAGGGGACAGCAGAGGACGAGATGGTTGGACAGTGTTCTCGAAGCTACCAGCATGAGTTTAACCAAACTGCGGGAGGCAGTGGAAGACAGGAGTGCCTGGCGTGCTCTGGTCCATGGGGTCACGAAGAGTTGGACACGACTAAACGACTAAATAACAACAACAACAATTCCAATCTTTCCCTTTGGTGGGAATTTACGTGTGGGCATACAAGCCCAGAGAATACCTCTGTTAGGGAGAAGCTCTGCAGAGGCTAGACTGCAGAAAGTGCTGCATCTCCATCTTCAAGAGTCATGCCCATGGCTGACTGGGTTATCGGCAATGAAAGACTGAAGGGGTGTAAGATCATGACAATGCTTTGTAGCTTTCTTTGGGCTATTTAATAAAACCTTTAGCCTTTAACCTTCACCCCATTTGGGTGTTCATTGTGTTCTGGATGTAAGAAAAACCACTGCACCTTTAACAATACAATTGTCATTATAATTAACTGTAGGTTGGGTTGCCCATTCTCTAGATCAGGTCCCAAGAGACTGCAATCTACTCCCAGTATTAAAAAAACAACTGGCAGTGATCTACCAATTGTTATTGAGGATTGACCAGAGTTGACTGAGCTTCTTTGAAGGGGGAATGACATGATTCGCTCACCTAAAACTCCACTGCTAAAAACCGCACGCAGCGCTAAAGCCAATCATCGTATTCCCAATCGCCAACAGAAAATGCCAAACACTGCCCACTTGACGCAACAGAGGGACAGAGACGGGAGCGGGAGGACGGAGACATTAATTCCCCAGTTCTTTAAATTCCGTGATCGACCACGATCACCAGGGGAGCTACCTGTCGATCGCAGTTGACCGGTTGAACATGTCTGCTCTAGATGAATGGACAGACCAATAACCTGTATTAACATTTGTATGCATTTTCATGCATACTTCTCTTATGCATCTTATATGCAGTTTTGCCGCATAATCCATTTCCCCCCAAACAATATTCACTAATATAATGTATTCTGCTCATTAATTTCACAAATATACATATTTTTGCATGCATTTTTCCTGAACGCACAAATTGTTGTATGCATTTTTTCTTGGGGAACGGCAACATAAAACTCAGATTGCATTTTGGTTTGCATATTGGGTGTGAATTAGGTTCGTTTGCATTAAAATGAAAAACACATGAATTTCTCCCAATTCCTATTTAATACTGGCCACAACAATGGTGGTTTTGCTTCTCAGAATGGAATGGAATCAACGTCTCGTTGAAATAAATGGCAGATTTCCCAATACTTTTAATGGTTATGGATCACACCCAAGTTTTATTTGTTTGCTTGTTCATTTAAGCTCAGCATCCTTGTTAAACCCTTGAATTTTTGTTCTCCCTTTCATGGATTAGGTGGCAACCCCGTGTAGACTTTTTCTCACGCTGACTGGGGAGCAAAGCACTTTTCTGTATAAAAATTGTATAGTGGCCCCTATTTTTGTTAAGAACCTTGCACATGACATACAAAGTAGCCTCTCTGTGATGAAAATAATTGTTCTTGGATAAACAAGGAGATTCTCAGAAAGTCCCAAGGCTATTGGCAGAAGATGTGTTGGCAGCTGTAAGAGAACAATTTTAATGTAGTGCAAGGAACTGTAAGAGGAAATGAATCTGGGATTCTCTAAGTCCCAAACGTTATAAGCTTATGCTATATAAAATTGAGGTAAACATTCTTTATTGCCATGGCTATGTTATTACAAATCTCATTTGTTTGCATAGGGAGATATGCTGTATTTGTTTATTTATGTCCACTGTTTCTTACCATGCCTTTTCAAACAGGATATTCAAGGGGATTCCCCCCCAAAAAAGATGGAAGACAAAAATGTTTCACTAATTCTATGTGGGGTACAATAAACAGCTCTTCCCACAAAAGATAATCTAATTCTCAGTCTCAAAGAATACAGTCTTGAACACCTGGTTAAGGATGTGCTGACTTGGTTTTTTTTCCAGTTCAATTTTACTCCTATTACTACAGATCGGGGTGGGGTAGGCTCTCATAATTGAGTTCACCAGTGTCAAAGGTTGTGCATTGATTGTATACAGAGAAATGGAACTATAGAATATTATTAATATATCCCGAAACACCATACATTATTAAACAGTTGAAAAGAGCACAGAATACCTTTTGTTAGCTTAGCCACCATGCCATTATGCCATTGTGAAAGCCACCACTAAAATCAAATAGGCTGGTGGGGAAACTTTCCAAACAACACAATATTCTGTGGGATAAAAATAGTTTGGGGGCTGCTTCCCCTAAAAAGCTTCTGTCTTGTAAGGCCATATTGCTATGTAAATGTGACTTTTAAGATTAAATCAAGTGTATCAGGCAGCTGAATCACTGCTTCATTCCATATTTGGGGTTATGTACCCAATTTCTTATGTACAATCATGGGCTCCTTTCAGTTTTTGAGACCCCTAGCCATAATAAAAATTAAAAATGATGACAGTAACAGAAAGAAAATAGGGCACACACAAATCTTGCGCCACTAGAACCAACAAATTTTAATGAATATTTATTAATTTGCTATTATTTAGGGTAAAACTTCCCAAGGAAGCTTACATCAAAAAAGAAAATTAAATCAATACTACAATATTTCCAAACACACACACTCTCCATCAGATCCTCAAGAACACATCCAGCATTAAAGCATTAAAACAGCAGCAGTGAAAACAATGCAAAGCACCACACACAAAAAATAAAAACAGCCTGAAATGAAAAGGTATTTAAAGTATTGTCTGAAATCCCCCACTCTTGCTTACCCCTGCTGCCACCCCAGACTGTTGAGTGACCATAAAAAATGTGCAATTTGCTAAGCAACCTGTAAAAAATAACACTAACATCTATGTTTTAAGGAAATACTACGTACCTTTAGTTCAAGCTCAGGCTTGTCTGATGAAACAGCTCCAGCATGAAGTCATCAGACTATGGAAATATAGTGTCTGCAACCTGAAATAAATGAGATCGAGAGGTAAGCACCTAACTGCTATCAATTATAGCAGCTAATAAAAATTAACCCAGTGAATTCCATTCCAAAGAGAAATAAACACATAAAGCAGTAGTTGACATTTTTAAAAAATGTATATTTATATTCAGGATCACCCATGGAAAAATATGATGCACATATGGTGACTTCGATTTCAACATCTTGCTTTCTTTGGCATTCCTCAGAGTTGTACTAGACTCAAAGAAGGAATTGCCTTAATAAGTCCTATTTTCCCCAACCCCAAGCAAAGAATCAATTGGCCAATTTAAACCTTGACCTATTCCATTTCTATTCTCATCACTCTCTGCTTCTCAGTTATAAAGTACCCAATGGCTTTATAATAAATCTAATGTATGTGATGACAATGATATTGATTGATTGAATTTGTAACATATAAACCCATCAGGAATTTGCACAGGGTAGGCATAAATTAGCTGTTCTCTTCTCCACTCCCCTGTCAGTAGTGAGCCAATATCATGCCATGTTGAATTAGGAAAAGGGATACCTTACTTATGTTGAAGTCCTCAGATTCAAGCCACAGAACACATTTATTTGTCTTGGGATGCTAAGGAAGAGCAAGAGAAAGGAACCATGTAGGCTGCCTTGAGCTTCTCAGAGAGAGGGTGGGATTAAAATGTATTAAACAGATGAGCAGAATTTCTCCCGATTAACTACTATTCATCTGTCATGTTTCCTCTTCACACAATCATAATTTATGCATCTTGCGATGGGCAGTAATTTGCTACTAATTCTACCGTTATTGTTCCCTAAGAATAGTGATGAGGCTGAGGAGGAATCATTACTTTGCAATACTCCATGGTTTAGGGGAGTTTATCAGAACAATAAATATTAGAAGCTAGCCATGTTGCAAATTTGGCATCACTCAGAAATGGACATTTTATATTTTAGTTTTAGATTTCAGCAGCTTCATGTAGAGAACTAATGCATAGGGCAGAGATGAGTGCATCACATGCAGTTTGAATCACAGGAGGGGTGGCCAGATGCCAGCCTCTGCCCTCCCAATGTCTGAATTTTCAATCTAAGACAAATAATCCATCTGGACATCTTAAAGGGAAGGAAGGTGTATCCTAAGTGCTCTTCTCCAGCCAGTTGAAATTAACACTGAAATTGGATAGCTTTAAAGTCACCCGAATTATAAGGGAGGATGTTGAAAGGAATCAGCAAAATGCCTTCAAAACTATTTTTTCCTCTCTTAAACGTGGGTCTCAGTTGAGTATGTGAACCTTTCTTTATGCTGAGCTGACATTGGCTCCTCATGACCTCAGATCACAGTAGGTGTTAAGGAGCAGAGGTTTCTCCGGGAAGTTCAGGGGTGGTAGAAATGTTTTGATTCTGCAGCTGAAGAAAGGCTGCCAGGATCTTGCAAGCAAGCAGCAGAATATTGTATTTGTTTTTATAGTGTGGTCATTACTTTTCTCACAATGTGGTTCCTGCAATCTTTGAAGTCTTTTGACTCCTTTAGTCTCTGGATAATGGCTGACATGGCTTGTTTGCTTATTCATGATGCTGTCTCTTTCGGGAGAAGGGGTTTTTTCTTCTGCTGCTGCTGGTGCTATATCCTGTTTTATACAATCCTTAGCCACAGCTAGCAAATAACAGCCAGGAAGCCATAAAACACTACTGAAGATCTTCCTTTCAGTTTCTGTAACTCAGTGATGGAAACCATCTGTGATAATTAAATAGAAGTGGACAAGGTTTGGAAGGTTTCTTGTGATTCGTTTCTGAGGGTCAATAGATACTGAATGTTTTTCCTTCGCAGAGATGGCATCATAAAGGCAGGGAGGGGGAATGTATGTGCAGTGTACCGCCACTTGTGAATTATTATTGTATAAGTCTTTATTTTACTATGAGTTTACAACCTGAATGTTGCTATCACTGGGGAAAGCCTGAGGAGAACTACGGTAACTCAACAGTGAGCCTTCTCAGTTATGGGCTGCATTCTCCTCAGAAATCCACTTGGCACCAACTTTTTGCTTACTTTTAGCAAACTGAAAACATGTATATTATCATCAGGCTTTTGATGAATAATATTTATGGACCTTAAAATGTAGTTAATGGATGGTTTTTAACTGATTTAAATTTATTATTGTTTGTATTTTTCTTGTAACCTTCACCTGAGGTCAATGGAGAAAGGGTGAGATATAAATTATATAAATAAATAAATAAATAAATAAATAAATAAATAAATAAATACAACTCAGAAAAAGCCTTTTGTGGCATTCAGCGGCATCTCTGGTATCTAGTTGTGAAAAACAAACTTTTCAAACTACATTTCTCTAGAGAGCTATTATTTTATTGTTGGCATGCACGGTTGGCTTAAAAAGACTTGGCATCTCAACACAACATCATTGAAACAAAGAAAATGAAAGCTGCCAAGATGGAGCAGATCCTGTGGGGACCTAGAATGGCCCATTGCCTGCCTGGTGTGTCCTCAACTCCTGGATCTATGTCCAATTTCTCTTTACTTGTGGCAACAATCACAAAATTCAGTATACAATTATCCTATTAATTGCCAGATCCTCAACTAAAGTCCTTAAGCAAAAACATCTTTAACAAATGTCTTAATAAAGCTTAAAGCATCTTTAATGATGTGAACCAACAGTTCCTGAAAAAATCCCTAGCATTACCCAGATTCAAGGATTAATCATCAAACAAACAGAAACAGTTGCTATGTTGCTATTGTCTTTAATCCTTCTTGAAATGATGGTGTTTGTTTTTCAGATGTTACATTATGACAATATTGCCTTCTTAGCAATAAATTACAAAGAAAAGCATTAATTCAATATAATGACTAATATAAGACCCCCAACCAGTGGTTTTTTAAAAATAAAAAAGCTTGTAATTCATGTTAAAATTTCATCTCAGCATGTGTAGACCACACAATGTGTCAATGTTTGTTCTTTACATAAAATAAGGACCACCGGGGGATTTTAAATTGTGCACTAGTTGTAGAAAAATTACTTCTGCAGCAAATGTGAGGCAGACAGACAGACAGAGATTTTTGGCTGATCCAGTAGTCCACGGACAGGGACATCACTTAGGCTGCCTGAAAATGAATCTGCTAACTCAATTTTTGTTCTTCAAAGTCATTCTATGTTTCTCAATATATTGCCCCCTGCTGCATTGATTTTCCCACTCATTATCCTCCATAATAGGCAGGCTGATCACTAATACATATATTCTGCTTCCAGACAAACCCAGAGACCCAAACAATTCTCAGGCAATGAATAAAAACATCTTAAATACAGTGTTCGGTTTAGCTCTAGAAAATGCACACCATGATATAACATAATAGATGGAGTTTTGGGACGATTTTAACATTATTTCCCCACCACCACCAGTTCCCAATATGAAGGCTGCCAAAAGGCACTCACTCATGTCAGCATTTCATGTGATGGGTTAAAACCTAAAAGCTTCTTAAGCCATGTGCCACCCCTGTGCGTGCATTGTCAGCATGCCAGTGTGGTTGCTGACACCAATGGAAACATACAATATTGGTGCAAGGACACTGCATACTATAAGCAATCATGATATGAGAGCTTTTCAAAGTTTTATGCCCACTACATAGAGCCAACATGGATTGGTGCTTTTTGACAGCCTCCACAAACCTCTACCCACAAAACTTCTTATTCTTGTCTTAATCATGGTTAAAAGAAAAGAGGACATAAGACAACAGTATCCTTTGGGAGCAAAAGCACTTTATAATATGAAAAGGATCATATGGGGTTCCTATTGTACTGCGTCTTTGCTCCCAATGCATCTTTTTCCGAACATTAAAAGAATAATGGAAAGTTTTGTACAATGACTGTAGAAGTGGAACTCTATGTTGAAATCTTGGTAACAGTGGCTTCAAATACAGGTTTTGTGCTCATTTAAATGGGCTCAACTTGTGGCTGATTTGGACAGTCATCAAATTATCTTATTGCTAAACTTGCTGGCCCTCTAGTAACCGAGTTCTTCTCTCTCCTCTCAAAAGTAACTAAAATCTGATTTAAATTGTAATTTCCAGATCTTTCCAAACAAGTAGACAGCATCATGAGTTTAACTATAGTAATGATTTATTCAGCACATCTCCAAACTTATCACAACCTTAAGGATGTGCTGAGCAAGGAAATAAAGAATTATGTGTTGGAAATACAATTTTCCTACCAGCTTGCAATTCAAGTTTTACTCCTCCTGATTTACAGAGGGTCAATCCTAGAAAAATATTGTGGAGTGGGCTCCCACAACTACCACTGATGACCACATAGGTCACAAAGGTATAAACACATCTATGACCCTCATTCAAATGGGCACTGACTAATCCAGTTTATTTTCTCCAAAACCAACTCTAATCTCATTCACTTAAATATTAGGCAACATTTATAGGCAACGTTCTTCCCCTATCACTCAGTAAACAATCTTGTACTTGTATACAAATTAAATAATGCATCCTCTGCCATGCAATGTGAATGAGCAAGAAAATCAATAAGATACCAAAATCATAGAAGAAGAAAAAGAATAGGCACTCGTATTTTTGCTCTATTTCCTCTCTACCACCATGGCTCTGATAGAAAGACACATAGCCATTGTCCCCTGAAGTTCTTAGGGTTTCTATTTCTTATATAAGCCTGATTCTTGATTGGCAGATGTGTTTGCATATATTATACACACACACACATGTGCTCACTTAATGTGAGGGATGGAGTTCATAGCACTAGCCTTGTAGTCTGTTATTTTTTCTTGTGGAGACTGCACATATCACTCCTCTAACATATGGAATGCCTTGTGGCATAGATATCTCCATACAATTTTGTAGGTGGGGAAAAAAACCAGCAACTCATCCTACTTTTACTAACGTGAGCCCAATGGATGTCTTGGGCTGCCTCCCACAATTATCTAGTTCAAGTACCTAGTTCTGCAACAACACAATAGTTCTAGCTGCAGTCTCAGAAAGATTATT